GTCAGCACAGAACCCAACGCAGGGCTTGGACCCACAAACCGCGAGATCATGACCTGAGCCGAAGTCAGTTGCTTAACCGGCTGAGCCACCCAGGCGCCCCTGGAATAGCTTCTTAATATATAATTTATAGACCACCATCTCTTCCAGTTAGTTCTGTTCTCTTCACCGACAAGCTCCATTTGGTTGACGCTCATCTGTGAAAACTTCTGTATTAATGACTAGAAAAGATTTCTTCCCTCATAAGGTAAATATATTGATAATGATTAGCTTTTATTTTTCCTGCTTGAAAAACAGACATTCTAAAGATGTAAAGATCTTTTCTTACATTTAATGTAGGACTTCAAAGAACTAGGTGGCTTTTTCTTGACACAAACGCTATTTTGTGCATGTGTGCATGTATATTTTCTAATCTACATCTGGTTAGACATAAAAAGCCTATACCCAAAGGAGATTGCAGGAAAATCAGAGATAACTCAGTTATTTTTAAGAACAGGCAATGAACTGAGAAATTTAAATCTAATCAGTGATATGTTTGTCAGAAAGACAGTAACAAGCATCAGGAAGAACATTACCTTTATATCAGAGATGAGTAAAGACCTCTTGTTTAACTGTTTTATCTAAATGTCATAAAAATCAATGATTTTGTTAGTGGGAATAACTGCAGAACATTTGGACAATTGCATCTGTGTTTATATTTACCTTGAAAGTTTCGATTTACTGTTTGATAGGAATAGTGATGCTGTTGACATAGAAACATATTTTGCAGGTAGTCTAATAAGGTTTGAATCCCACTCTTCTTCTGTGTTATTAGTAGCAAGCATTTATTTAGTGTTTACTCTGAGCCAGGTGCTCTAAGTGCATGGATATTCCTTACCTCTTTTAATCAGCAGAACAGCCCTTGGAGTCAGTTCTTACAGAAATGCCAGCTTGTCAGCATAGTAAGTAGTGAAGCTGGGATTTAAACTCAGTTGGGTAAAACACCAAAACCCATATTAAATATAGTATCAATACCACCTCCCTGTGTGACCTTGAGCAAATCACAGATATACATCCCCTAATTCTGAAGTCCTAAAAGCTTTGGAAATTGTTAATCTTTTTATAACTTACTTGGTGGCAAAATGAGACGTCAGTGGATGAAAAGCTATTTATAGCCTTGTTTATCCAATTTATTGTGAATATTCAGACATGGTAATGTATTTGCTTTAGGGAGTGTTGCCATAGACCTTCTCTGGAAGTGTTACAAAATATATGGTATATGCACCATATTAACTTTCTAAAGTAGGAACAATTCTGAAAACTGAAACATTCTCAAGTGGCTGTGGCCCCCTATTTAATGTCCATAATATTTAGTTTTCTTATCTGTAGAGATGTTAACACCTAACCTAGTAGGTTTTAATAAGAATTATATGAAATAATTATGTAAGTCTTTAGGCTCAGTGGTATATAATAAGTATTAAATTTATTGGTATCGTGGGGTGCCTGGGTGGCTCAGTCGGTTGAGCGTCTGACTTCAGCTTAGGTCATGATCTCGCAGTCTGGGAGTTTGAGCCCTGTGTTGGGCTCTGTGCTGATAGCTCAGAGCCTGGAACCTGCTTCGGATTCTGTGTCTCCCTCTCTCTCTCTGCTCCTCCCCTGTTCATGCTCTGTCTCTCTCTCTCTCTCTGTCAAAAATAAATAAACATTTTAAAAAATTAATTAAATTTATTGGTATCGTTACTGTCATTATCTTGGAATTTATTGTCAGCTGTTGTAGAGTTTGGATCCTGAAGTTAGAATTGTCGAGAACATGAGCTCAGCTTGCAGCTGAAGCCTGACACTGCATCGTGTCTGTACAGGATTAGTAGGAAGCCATGTCTTTTCCAGAATGTAGTTACTTTCACTCACCAGTTTAAATGGTAGTAATTTCCTCCTGTAAGTGTACATTATCCCTTAGTGCAGGATTTCCTAATCTCGTTTGTGTCATTACACACTTAGAAAATTCTTTCCTGAGATATGAGGGAGGAGGGTGCTTGGGACTGCTCCTGCTACTCCAGGCTCACCTGGCCACCTGAGGTCAGAAGGAATCTGCGTCCTGGGACACCTGTAACACTCCTTGGCAAAGCACTGTAGAATTGCGTAGACCAGACATAAGGGGAAGAGAAATGAAATGTTGGAAGTTACTAGTGAATTTGTGTTGGGTACCTCTTCTGTTTAAGCATCTATTTCAAAGCAGTTAAGAAAATCCACATAAACCTAGGTGAAATTTATAATTTCTAAAATAGTTAATCTCTTAATTGCTTGTCTTCTCGCAGTCAAGAATGAAGTAGATTAGGAATTTAAAAAAAGAATGAGGTAGATTGACTTTTTTTTAATGCTTATATATAATGTATGTGCTGGCATCTTAAATATACTTCATTTGTAAGCTAGAATTATGCAGAAACTATAACATTGTCTTAGCATTTGAAGCACTTCCAAGAGTAGATAGGACCAATGATACATTGAATTTGGGGCATTTGTTTTTGTTTTTGTTTTTTAAGGGGCTGACATTTATATTTCTTCCCCAAATATTACAGTAAAAATCAGGTGGGGTAGGATAATTTTGTCAATTTTCTGATGAATGTAAAATTCAGAGTTTGACTGTTAGAAGTTACTTGCAACAGGCTTGTACACACAGGCCACAAGAAGTTTCACATCATCCCTCCCCCTCAGCCAAGCCGATAGCCTCACTATCAGATAAAAAAGGGATAAAGAGTTGATTCTCAACCACATCAGAACATCAATTGACACATTACCCTCAGCCATAAATTCAGGATGTTGGGGGGGGGGGGGGCGGGGGGCAACAGTTTAGGGAGCTGCCAAAACAGATACCTCACTTCGGCTAAGGGATTTGAGGGTGACTGGTTTCTCTTAAATGAAAGGGCCCTCCCTTTTGAAGGATTAAAGGAGTATTTCTTTTTCGTGTGTTTCTCTGTGACGGAGGAGACTCTTTTCCTGGCCTTCAGTGACCCGAATGGGGTTAGCTGAGTCTATGGCGTCCCCAGTGGCCTGTTTGCATTTGGCGGGGCTCCTCCTTACCAACCTTGGAGGGACAAATTTCCAGTGCTCTTCTCTCTTTTCCTGGACGCTTACAGTGAGGTTGGGACGGGAGGCAGGTGTGAGTGGAAACGGTCTCCTTGGTACCCACTTAATTCTGGAGAGACTTGGAGCTCTGTCTGCTCAAATTGGGGGCTTTTTCAAGAGGAGTTTTCAAAGATAAAATATTTCTGACAGCCTTACAAATCTGTCTTTCTTTTAATCCTTCAAAAATATTATAATTTGGGGGGTTTACCACCTTCTGAAGTTATAAGAACATTGGATGATTCTATAATTGCATATAGCCAGAATATGTTGTGTGTTAATTTGGGAAGAATGTGGCTGGCTTTCAGCACTTCTTTGAACCAAGGCATATTATTTATTAGCTGCGTTTCTTGATTTTTCCCAGAATGTTACATCTTCATCTAAATCATAAATCTGAATTATATTGCTACAAAACCTAACTGTTGCCTAGAATAGTGTGGTAATAATTTTTGTAAGAAAAAAACAAGCAGTAACAATTGTTTCCTTTATAGGAACAGAAAATATAGTAACAAAATTCCAGGTTATATGAAGTCATTATGACTAAAAATCATGTTTTACATGTGTATTTTATATTTTTTATTTTATAACAATTGGTCTTCCTTGTCATCCCCACAGGCATGTTACAAAGATAAATATAGTCTCTTCTCAACTCTTAACTATTTTTAACCTCAGAAATGTGAAATGTTGAAGTGTTAGAGTTTAGAGATTAGAAAGTTGCAAAAAAATGAGTTTTCTGTATCTTTTGGGTAACAGTCATGCTTTGTAAGTGAAATTTGCAAGGCAGGTGAAGTGTGCACTGTGTGGGTAGAATTCATGAGTGGTAAGGAGTATTCACATAACAGAGTGAGCAGTCTTGAAGCTGTTGGTGCAGGTGGACAGCCACACCGTAAGGGAGGCAAATCAGGGTTTACATACAGAGCATTGACGGAGTCTCCCTATTTTACAGATTCTCTTTCCCTAAAAACGAAACAAAACTTAGTTTTTGGAAAGTATTTCGTTTTCAGAACTCATTTTTTCCTTTCAGAAAACCGAAGAATGGGAGAAAGAGAAGACTGAGGCAGATATGGAAGAGTATATATGGAAAAATAGCCCCTCTGAAAAAAATATCCTGGAAACACTTCTCCAAATTAAAGCTGCTGAGAAAAATCTGGAAGTAAATAAAGAAGAGCTCCTTGGTACAAAAGAAGTCGAAGATTACAAAAAGTGTGTTGTTAGTCTTAAGAATGAGGGGGACAATGAAGAGACCCTTTCTCAGTACAAAGAATCCGTGAAGAAGCTATTAAAACTGATGTGATTTATGTAGAAAAACTGCTTGATTTGCTAATTTTATGATCTATCTGTAATCATTATCTAACTTCACATAAATTTGAAAATGTTAAAAAGAACCATTGTTTTACATCAGATTTAAAAATATTTCTTTCATACTAATCCGTAATGGCAATGATTATTCATAAGTTCTTATTTGTACAGTGCGGCAGAAGGACTAATTAAAATATCTCGGTGATTCCTTCTGGCTTCTGAAGTGTCTTCATTTTACTTCTACCATAACAACTTTAATATTCCTATATATACATATATTGTTATTTTGTCACCTGCTGTATTTCTTTCCCTACAAATTAGCACCTATTGGTTGCTTTTGAATACGGATCTTCCTCAACTTACAGTGGGGTTATGTCCCAATAAGTTCATTTTAAGACGAAAATATTAGAGGTTAAAAATGCATTGTTTTTAATTTTTAAAAAACATTTCTTTATTTTGAGAGAGACAGAGCATGAGCAGGGGAGGGGCAGAGAGAGAGGGAGAGAGACTCTTAAGCAGGCTCCACGTTGTCAGCACAGAGCCAAACACGGGGCTCAGCCTCACAAACTGCGAGATCAAGACCTGAGCTGAAACCAAGGGTCAGACCCTTCCTTAACCAACTGAGCCACCCGGGCACCCCAGGTTGAAAATGCATGTAAATATACCCAGTCTACCAAACATCATAACTCAGAGCACTTAACATTAGCCTGCAGTTGGGCAAAGTCATCTAACACAAAGCCTATTTTATACTGAAGTGCGGACTGTCTAGTGTAATTTATTGAATACTATCTGTTGAAAGTGAAAAGCAGACTAGTTGTACGGGTACAGAGTGGATGTCAGTGTACCAGTTGTTTCCCTCGTGGTCACGTGGCTAAAGAGGCACTGTGGCCGCCACCGCCCAGCATCACAAAACTGAAAATTCAAAATTTGAGGAATGGTTTCTACAGGATGCATTGTTGCTTTCACACCATGGTATGTAAAGTAGAGAAATCATAAGTTGAGTCATAAGTCAGGGTCAGCGTAATGATTTGGGTTATTTGGGAAGCTGGGCCTAGAATGCAGTCCCTTGATAGTACAGTGCCTTTTTTTTTTTTTTTAACGTAACTGCTGTCTACACAATGCATTTTTCACAGATGCCAATTCTGATTAGAAAGGTCCTTCAAAATGTTTTCTAGCCTAAAAATTTTGCTCCATTCCTCTCTTTTGGGCTCACTTTATGTTAATCGTCTCTGCTTAGCATCCAATTTTCTATTTTCTGGGGCTCATTTCTCCACACCCTAGCTTGCAGAAAAGTAGAAATGGGGATTAACTGGTATCCATCTCTCTATAGATTCCCCAATGAGAACTTGTACAGCTCAGAAAAGAGATGAGGTGTAAGGACCTTGAAATTAATTGGAGTAAATGACAAAATAAGAACTGCTCTAAGAAACATTCCTTTCAATTTGGCTGTCAATTCAGTATTTTTAAGTATATTATTTCTTACCACTTCCAAAGTTGTCAGTAAGTGATCAAGTTAAAGTAAAGGAATTACTCGGTTTGATATTTGTCTAAGACTTATTTTACCTAACAGAATAAAGCCAAAAAGAATTTCAAAACAATTACCCAAAAGATTTCTGTGAAATAAAGGTATAATTTCTTATCAAGGCCAAGAATCTGTAGGTTATTAAGGACAACAATGTGACGTTGAGGGCAAAAAGGAGAGAGATGTTCTAATCCACTGTATGGAAATAGTAAATGAAAAGCAAGGTAGGTAACACAACTTTTAGACCATGTTTAAAGCATACATTAAATGTATTGAAATGTTCTCTTTCTTAGAGATCCATAGAGCTTAGGAAAATTCAGATGCAGAAACAGGATTGAAGAAGGAAACATTTTGAAAACAGATGGAGGAGAAATGATCATTTGGGAACATGTAACAAGGTGGTAGATGAGGGTCATCTGTGCTGTAGTAATAATATGGTGCAGATGAAAGGAGAGGAAGTAATGATGTGTAATAAAGAATTTGACCTGGCCCTAAGAGGTCTGGTCTTTGCCTACAGCTTCTGAAAGGTAATCTAGGTCACACCTCATAGGAGTATCTCTGTTTTGGGTGAGAGCTAGTCACAATGGATTTCAGGGTGGGGCTGACCACACCTGACAGTCTTAGCCATGCCAGAGAAACCACATGATTTAGAGCGAGGGGCATTGAGTCACCTGGGATCAGGCCACTTGGCAGCTGAGATCAACCACCCAGGTAATCAGTCATGCCCACGGTAACAGCGCCTCTATAAAATATTTGAACACTGAACCTTATGCAGGTTTCCCTGGCTGGCAATACTCTCTCTAGGCATAGTGCCACACACTGGTACAGGGAAAGTAATGCCATCTTGCCTCTAGGGGGAGAGGACACAGAGAAGCTGTGACTTTGGAACCCTCCAGGACTTCATCCTATGTGTTGCTTCCCTTGGCTGATTTTAATCCGTATCCTTTCCCTGTAACCATAACCGTGAGTATAACAACTCTCCTTGAGTTCTGTGAATTATTCTATTGAATTATCAAACCTGAGTGTGGTTTTAAGACAGACCTCCCCCCTCCAAACTTATCTTGTAGAGAAGTTGGTATCTTGTAGAGCACTGTACCTTCTAAGCCTTTGCAGCTTGGCTATCTAAAGGCAACTGACCTGAACACAGGCTGTAATGTAGCCTTGACGCATAATGGCGAAATCTTGGACCTATAACATTAACACAAAGCTGCCTCAAAAGGAAACTAGTTGTTGTCATTGTAATATTAGCAATAATTAAACAGCACTGTTTGTCATTAATCAGACCTTTGTTCCTTTAATTGATCCAATATATACAATGAACATGAACATATTTATCCTTTAAAAAAAAATTTTTTTTTAACGTTTATTTATTTTTGAGACAGAGAGAGACAGAGCATGAACGGGGGGAGGGTCAGAGAGAGGGAGACACGGAATCTGAAACAGGCTCCAGGCTCTGAGCGGTCAGCACAGAGCCCGACGCGGGGCTCGAACTCACGGAGTGTGAGATCGTGACCTGAGCTGAAGTCGGCCGCTCAACCGACTGAGCCACCCAAGCGCCCCGAACATATTTATCCTTATAATGAAGAGTCTAAGGGATATTTGCTACATTGATAGTCACTGCTGACTTCAAACTCTTAGAAGTTACATAACTTAGAAGTTGCTTAAACACATAGGCAACTAAGAAATAGGACAAATCTGTTTTCTTAATTGTAGCATGTGTTAGTTCTTTCTTTGCATACATTCTTCGTAACATTGGTAAGTATTTCATGATCCTAGACGATTACAGACTTTTTTAAAAGAGGTCTGGCTCGTTACAATGTTGGAAAGATTTCAGTATCATGGTTACTTTGCAATTGAGTGTAACAATCTTGGCCTTGGTGGTTAACTGGACCTTGAGAATCTTTGTTTCTTAAGAAAGGTTTAAATTCTATTCACATGTTCTCTTTGGTCCTTTGGCTTCCAGGAAGGACATGGTTTCTAGGCCTGCCAGTTTTTGCTTCCTGGCTGACTCTGTGCTGGTAACATCTGTGGTCTAAATTTACTCAGTTTATCTCATGGTCAAAGGTAGTGGCTGAAGAAGAGGAGTGTGAGTTTGTTTTCTTACAAAGATAAATATTTTTTCTCAAATGATGGTCATTTCTATAAAACTATCAATTTTGGAGAATGAGCCAATTCTGAGAAATCTCTAGGAAGAAAAAACTTTTTCTAGCAGCCCTAGTTTTTCAGGAAACCTTTAAACAACTTGTATATATTTTTTTAAAAACTAAGTAACCTTTTACAAGATTGTATGTACAAATAAGATGTAAAGACTGCATCTTGAATTATTTATTTAAATATAATTTAAGGATAATTTAAATCTTTATATCCTCCCTACACAGTATGGGACTTTTTCCTAATGAATTAGGAATGAAATTGATGAAAGTTATGATATTTAATTTCATGACTAGCGAGTAAGGATAAATTGGTGAATTTTTTTCCAGACTTTTTTCAGAGTTTTTTTTTTTTTTCTTTTCAGACTTTTATTTGTGGCTAATATGCCACTGGTAGAGATTTTGTATATTTCTTTTTTTACACTAAAAAAGAAATAGACATCCCCCCCCCCACCACCACCACACACAGTATCAACAACAAGAAAAAGAAACAGAACCACTTCTTAAGCCACTGGACAATTTGTTTTAACAGAAAAGAGAACTACTATTTTTTTAATCCTATAATAGGATTTCCTCTTATCTATTCTTTATGCTTATTGGCTGTCTTAATATCTGTCCTCACATTTAGGAAGAATTTCAGGAATGAGATTAAGGACCTAAAGTTTAAAATCAGTGGAGACTTGGATTAAAGGTGTCTGCATGTAGGAGTCTGAATGTAAGATTTAGGGAGGTAAATCAGGTGTAAAATTTGGACAGAGCTGAAATATCTACAGCTAATATTTGTACCTGGGGAAACAATGTATAAGAAACAAGTGAGGGATGTAAACTAAAACTCCTGTGCTTTATTCAACAGAGATCAACACAAAACTCAAAGATTCCAGTACCAAGGTTATTTAAAGCCATGTCAGCTTCAGAAAATGAAGATGAATTAGGATTAAAAAGAATTAATCAATTGAACAGTAAATCCTTCCTATATAAAAATAGGAAGCATTTGCACATGGGCTAGTAACTAATAATAATGCTCTTCTGTTCAAACCACTACAAGATTTTATTAACATAGATGACACTAATTTGACCCTGACAGTACCACTACAAGATTTTATTAACATAGATGACACTAATTTGACCCTGACAGTACACATATATGGTATTCTCCTCTCTGTATCTTTTTTCCATGCACTTTGGGAAAATGGAGGCTTTTAGTCTGAGAGTGATTTCAACCATGAACTTTTGAACCAGATTGTCTTTTAGGTCCTGGCTTCACTACTTACTAGGTGTGTGACTTTAGGCAGGATAGTTAGCCTCTCTTCTCATTTTCCTCATCTGTAAAATGTGACAATAATACTATAATGGTTAATAAAAGCATACCTAACTCATAAAGTTATAAGAAATCAATGAGTGAATGCATGCATAGCACTTAGAACCATATCTCTCATGCAGTGCTGAATAACTGCAGGGGTCAGAATTTTGGAACTTTGGCAAAAGGTACACTTCAAAAAATGGAAATAATTAAAAAAGCAGTTAAGTTTATCAACCATTGGCCTTTTTTTAGAGATTGGTAGGGGTGGGCATCCTGTGCAATTGTTTTTTGTTTTTTGTTTTTTAACCAAACTGCCCTTGTCTTACAGAAAATAAAAATGATACTCTTGAAAGCTTACAATCTCCCTGTAACTTTTACGATTAAGAGTTCTCCTTCGGAGTGTTATTTATTTATTTATTTTTTTAATTTGCCTGGATCCTGACGTTTCTCTGTCCTGGTTTAGACTGGCTCTGCTTTCTACAGCATCCAGATGCCAGGATGATTATACAACAGCAAAGAAAGATGACAGAGGTACAGAGGGCCACTGGAGCCAGCCACATATTTGGAGTCACAGATGCCCCATCAGGTGTCACGTCTTCATTCTCAGATGTGTGGTTTCTGCTGTTGTACCCCTTGGTTTTGTTCAGTAATTGTTTGCTACTGTTGAGTCTGGATGGAATAGGCCTATGAAAAAGTTTTGTGTCTACTGGCATAAAGAAAGGAGAAACGGTCTTGTTATCTGGATTGTTGATGAAATCAGTACTGTGTGACACCATATTTACCTCTGTGGTCATGGAGTCATTCAGGGAAATGAAGCTTGCCCAAGAATCTGTGGTTAATTCCCTGGAAGACCTGGTCTTGTTTGTGTTTACAACCAAATCTCGATGTGTGCTTGATGATGGTGCCTCTACTGACGGTAGCTTTGGGTTTATCATGGTGCTTTGTTGTTTGCCTAAATTTGCAGCTTTTAGAAGCCTTAGTCTGTCCCCTGTGTTAGATGAAGAACGGGTATTTAGATATGCGGGAGGTGACTGTTCAAAAACCAGCAAATCTGGATCTATACCTGAAAGACAAATAAGAAGTCTTATTATAAGTAAGAAGACTTAGAGAAGCCTTGGATTTGCCACTGAGCTGGTGAACTGAGCTTAAGTTCAAGTTCTACTATTGCGTATTTCGGAAGGCCTCAGAAACATACTGGCCACATCTGAATTTATCTTAACTTTCTAGGACACTTTCTGTTATGAACAAGTTTGGTTAGCTCATGGAAGATTCTTCGCGTCTGCCTGGGCATTTGGGTAACAATAGACAGTGTTAGTACAAGAATGGCAAAAAACAGTAGCCATTGGAGATATATAGCATTTTAAAATAAAATTTTAAGGGGCACCTGGGTGGCTCAGTCTGTTAAGCATCTGACTTTGGCTCAGTGCTAGTGAGTTCGAGCCCCGCATTGGGCTCTGTGCTGACAGCTCAGAGCCTGGAGCCTGCTTCGGATTCTGTCTCCATCTCTCTGGCCCTCCCCTGCTCTCGCTCGCTCTCTCTCTCAAATATAAAATAAACCATAAAAAAGTTCAAAATAAAGTTTTAAAAAATAGGGCCTAAGAAGTGTAGCTGTGTCAGAATTCATGAGCAAAGCCCTCAGTCTCATCCCTTCTCAGTTCCTGAGGGTCCTGACTTTGTCTTCAGTATTTTCTCCTTGTAAAGGAGCTCTTTTCCCTCTGACTTCAAATATGCACAAACATTGCTCCATGTGTAAAGTGGGGGGGGGGGGGCCCTGGGTGGGGGGAGCCCCTCTCAACAGCTTTCCAGTTGTCCCTGCTATCAGTCAGTTTCTGTCTCTCTCCCTCTGGACATACTAACATCCATTTCCTTTCTTTGGTTTTTGCCTTCTGTCATCTTGTTCCATCCTCACTATTCTGTCAGAATTATGCTTCTGAGGTAATCAGTACTTTCTATATTTCCTGATCAGTTACATTGCTTTGGCAGGCTCTTATCCTCGATACTGCTGGCCATCTGTTCCGTAAAATTCTCCTCCCGTGACTCCCTGGAGCACAGACTCTCTTGGTACTTTACCTCAGGCTGCCCGCCTCTCATTTTTTCTTTCTTTTGCTGGTTCTTTTCTTGGTCCTAACTTGTTGTGTACTTTCCACAATCTTCAGTCCTTTGTCTTCTCTTGAATTTTCTCTTCATCTCACCACACACACACACGTCTTCATCAACTGTCACCACTACATCGGTGGCACTGAAATCCACATCACCAGTGATTTCCTCTTTCTTGGTCTCTGGTCTCATTTCTCCTGTGCTCTACTGAAGGTTTCCACCTAGACATCTCATGTCATCACTGAACATTCCCAGAGCCAAAGTCATTTCGTCTGGTTCTTTGTCTCATTCAGTGGCATCATGAATCTTCATCACCCATGCTGGAATCTGTTTGTACTGCAGAGCAATTTTTGACTCCTCTCTTCTTTTCCTTCATCCAAAAAGTAACTACACCCTATCCAGTTCGCTCCCAATGTTCTAGTAATCATCCCTCCTCTTTGTCGCAGTTATGATCGCCTTCTCCAGATCTCATGCCTCCCTGACTAGATTTTCTAACTTGCATCCTACATATAATTTTCTGAGACTAAATAGACAGCCAGACTCGTCACTTTCATGATGGCACTTGCTCACTAAATACCTTTGCTGGTTCACTATTGCTGTCAAAGTCGAACCAAAACTCTTCTCTGTCCAAAGCCCTTTTTTTATTACCTGGCTTACCCTCTCTTACCCATATTTTTTATTGCAACTCCAAATGTGCCCCTTTTGTAGCTAGACCTGTTTTCTCCATGGTGGGATGCTGAACTCCTTATCTTGCCTCTGCCTGGCCTCTTCAATGAAGTTGCCTCTGAATTTAGCTTTCTTTAGTCTCCTTTTGGGTGCTTGTACTTGGGGAAGTATCACACGTTTTTTAATGCAATTCCACTTTTTACACTAATTGTGAGACTTGTCACATCAGCTAGATTGTAAGGAACTCGAGGGCAGAGAGATGGCTGCAATCTTTTGCAATGTTGCACACAGCCTGAAGCATTAGGTTTCCACTAAGTACAGATTGATGACAAAACTGATCTTCTTTGTATTTTGATGACAAAAATCGATCCTTTCATCTTTACCAATTTGTGCCCTGAGATTATATACATGAGCAAGGGACACTTAAATGGGTATTTTTCTAAAATAAAATATACTGGTTATCTTGGGACCATTGGTATGCTAACATATGTTAGTAAGTACATTTCCCTGTCCTTGACATCCATTTCTGTAGAATCCTTGTATGTGGTGTCAGTGGACCTCAAAATTGCCATTAAGCAATTTTCTTTATTTCCTAGTATCATCCTTAGCCACTGCAGTTGAAATGCCCATTTTGTCCCTTGCTAGGGGCCCCTGGAATAAATGTAATGCTTAAGCTCTTCTTCAATCATGTATGATTTGTGATCATCTGGAATGAGCTCATCATTGCTGAACATGCCAAACTAAAGGGAATATCCTTCTAGTTTTCTTCCCTGGATGCCCAAACCTTTCCAGATAGAAATCACTGGGATATAACAATTCAGGGATTCACACATTGTTATTAACAGTAGCTTTTAGGTTATATGTCTCTACTAGAATATTGTCAATATTCTTCAAAATACAAAAAAAAAAAAATACATAAATCATTACCTTCTGTTATGTTGTATAAAATGGCACTGGTTCCAGGCTCTAATACACAGCTCTCCAATGTTGGGCAGTGAATATGGAGGCAGTTGACATTGTCGTGAATAGGATCATGGTAGAAGACAGCCACGTTACAGGAAACTGAAAGGAAAACAGGCCAAGTGAATCTGCAGATGGTCTTGGTTTCTACCAGCTTGATGAGCTCTGAGTAACTTACATTTCTTTCAAGAACATTGGATTAACAGCAAGCAATACATTGCAAGGCTACGTTCAGATATTTCATAGAACACTGTGAACTATAGTAACTGTATGAATACAGAAAATGCCTTTTTAAAAAAAACTATACACTAATTTTCTCTCATCTTTCACACATTCCATTCCACATAGGGTCACCCAGAATCATTTCCCAATCCCAGTATTTTATGTTCATGAAAAGATCAGTTGGCTACAGAAACCTCTGGGGATTTATACATAACAGATTTCTAGATGTGTTGCCGTCTCAGAATGCTAAGGTACTGGAGTTCACCAGAGAAAGAAATAAGAAAATAAAGTGACAAATGTTGTAACAAAAGAGGGAGTAGTGGGAAGGCAAAAACAGCATTACTGGGAGAGGCCTGATGGTGGAAAGGCAGCAGGTCAGGTGAACACGACCCTGACCTTGATTAAAGGGGAGCACTAACCCCATGTTGCAAATCACATCCAATGAAAAGCCTATTCAGTGTCATTTAAAGAGGATGAGAGTCGACCATCAGGGATGTTAGGATTTGGAATTCTACTGAGTAGGGGTACATCACTGACTCGTGCTCTCTTCCCTTTACTAAGTAAGTTTGCTCCTTACAATGTATCATACTATTTCTGGAAAACCTTAAGTTGGATTTGTGGAGTGCCAGTCTTCAGTCTGTCCTCCTGAGAGGGCAACACAGATTTCCCTCCTGCTGCAGTGAGGAGGAAGCATGTGCTGGGAAACATCCATTGGCCAACAGTATCAACTTTTTTAATAAAAGAAGATTACAGAGGGGTAGCATGCAATTATCAGGCCTCAGACTATGCCTAAGGCTGTGGTGGAATTGCTGCTTCTGTGTAAGGTTAACTGTGGGCAGTTGTATCTCCCCCATTGCTTCCAGGACAGCTCACGTTTCTGCACTCTTTCGTTTTTCAGTAGGAAAAAGAATAGGACAGAATTCAATTAATAATACCTTGCTAATCCATTACAGATGATAAATACATCCCCCAAAGACTGTGCTGTCAAGTTCAAGGGAAAGGACTAAAATACATTTAAATTTAGACATCTAAATTTCTGATGAGCAAGTAGCTGATGCCGTAGAGAATAATTTTGAAAGATGTTTTCTATTCCTCTTTGTGTACACCTCAGAGTTTCATCTCCGAGCAGGTTAGCTATTGCCCGACTGTGGCTTTTTAAAGTTCTGGCTCCCGGCGAAAAACAGAGACGTGTGTTCGTGCCCTTTCTTCTGGAGGAAGAAAACCACAACTTGGAAGCTACAGAGGCTCTAAAATCATGGAATTCTACTGGATGCTTATAGTATCCCTGGAAGTCCAGAAGACAAAGTTTCCCTGCGGTGGACAGTCAAGTAAACTGATGCCATGGGGAAATGCTGAAACGTATCCCCCCTCGCCTACCTTCCCTCAAGCCTTTTGGGATCAGAAGCATCTCTAAGGTGAAAATCTGAAATGGCAAACTTCTCAGAAATATTTCCCTTTAATAAATTAATTGTTCTCTTCTGTGCCTGATTATCTTTTGAGGGCTTAGCCTGGGACAGCTTCTCACACTGTGGTCGGTTTATACCCTTCTAGTAGATTCAGTCTGCATCCCAGAAATCTTACATGCATACTTGGATAGGAGGCATTGGCAATTAATAAGTTGGTGTCAAACCATGGAAAGAAACTGTGGAATAACCAAGAGAATTATTTTCAAGTGTTGTGTTGCTTTTGCTGTTTCTTTCCAAGTAACTTTAAAATCTTGGGAAAATGAAAAACAAATGGAAGAAGTCTTTAGACAATTAGAACTTGAAATTCTGCAATAATGAAATGTTTTCCTAATTGTAAACCTTGGTCGTATTACATGGATGATGTTTAACCCTGATTCTGGATTTCAGACCAAAAAAAAAAAAAAAAAATCAGATTATTTTGAAAATGCGTTTTTCTTTCTTTTTGCTATTTGACATATATCTGCCTATGTCTTTCAAAACATTGATCACAATCTAAATTCCTATTCAGTGCAGCCCACATTTAGTCAACACAGCAAGCACATTTCGAAATCCTGAAATACCAATATCACTGAAAGAACTTTGAAAGGGAAATGATAAATATTTTTGAAATCAAATATGCCATATTTGGGGCTAAGAAATATTGTTAGTTAACCCTCAAGGAAATATTTTCATTTAGCCTGTTCATGAGGAAAAGAAGATTCTCTGTTGCCTATAGTTTCCATGGCATTCTGGGTCATTACCAGATTTGTAAACTGAGCCAGCACTGACCCAGACAGTCTGAGTCTCTCCTGCACTCTTCCATCCCCTGTCTCTCCCTCATCTCCCCTAGTCCTGTTCATCTTTTCTCTGGAACCTCTACCTAGGGGCCCTTACTTAGTCTTCATTTTATAATTTTCTCCTGATTTTTGCACAGGCGTATCATTAATACTTACCATCCTTCCTAAGGCAGCAGCTCCTGCTGCATTTCTGGCCAGTGCCTTCAGAGTAATACTTCAGGAACTGAGCTCCCAGCTTCTGAGACTCCTCCAGGTCAATCAGAAGACCCGGAAAGCGACGGATCCAGCAGCCTCTGTAAAAAATGGTGGGTGAGCAGAGAGAGTGAGAGGCCCGCACCACGCTCAGGAGCAGTGTCACGCTGGTTACCACCACTGCCGCATGCATTTTGCTGGTATAAAGACTGGGCAAGAAGCCTGAGTCCCACACAGATGCTGAAGCTGACCATCAGGCTTCTGGACAGTTTCTGGAACTCGGGGGCTGTTGCTGAGGGACTCTCTTGGAGGGTCACCTTCTAGAAAAATGAAGCCATTCTTTGGCTGCATATTGATTTTTCTTTCATTTCTCCCCGGCTGAGCCCTAGGTGAACATTTGACTTTCTGACGTTAATTTTGAACATTTTCCAGGCCATTTCGATACTCTGTCCTTTAGCCTCTTGAAGATGTGGATTCTCTCCTCTGCTTTTCTTCGTTTTGTGAAAGTGAATAGTCACAGACACCTCTCACTAAGTAAATATAAAGACAAATGGAAATCCTAGCCAAGAGTCTTTCTCAGGAAAACAATAATTTAGTCACTTGACGTCAGATAAAGAAGGATCCATTTCACCAGAAACAAGACATGTTTTTGTAAGGGCACTTCTGTATAGCTTTAAAGGAACCTGTGACTGCGATTTCTTTTCAGTCATTTTTTTCCCTTTGAATTTACATTTTAGTATTCAGGTTCACTAGAAAACCAGTTTGTGCACTGGTTTGTGCACAAAACAAAACGTGAAAGTAAATGAAACTGAAAAAGAAAAAAAACAATTTTAATTTTACAGTGATTTTGAAAACACTGAATGTGGATCCTGGTCATTTCTTGGAGCTAGGCTTCCTCCAGACCCCCCCACCCCCACCAAAAAAGTCCAGCCATAAGCTTTCTTTAAAAAAGCATAAATGAAAAGCATTACAGTGGAAATTGTGAAGAAGTTCAAAATGGGGACTGTTTAATCTGTTTTCTGATATTCGTGTTTGCATGTTATAAAGGAGACTTTTTTGTGAAGCATATACATGAAGGCATAGTATCTTTGAAGCAGAAGTAGTTGCCAAGAAATGTGCATTCGGGAAATGATGAAATGGTTTTAAATTTCTTTTTCTTTCTTTCTTTCTTTCTTTCTTTCTTTCTTTCTTTCTTTCTTTCAATGTTTATTTTTGAGAGAGAGACAGAGCATGAGCAGAGACAGAGGGAGACACAGAATCTGAAGCAGGCTCCAGTCTCTGAGCTGTCAGCACAGAGACCAACGCTGGTCTAAATATTAATAAAATTACTTCAATTGCAAGACCAAAACATTCGAAAAGATACTAAAGGCAGCAAAAATAGCCTCTTACTTTTGTGAAGATTGTGGGTTCCATATCCTGTGATGATGTCCAAAATGACAAATTAGTTCAAAGCATAAAATTCTTCTTGCTTTTGTGTATCCATTTTTATGCAAAGTATAAGTGAAAATCAGCTTTTGGCATAATGTACTGTTCTGCTCTTTTCAAAAAGAAGAAGAAGAAGAAGAAGAAGAAGAAGAAGAAGAAGAAGAAAAAGAAGGGGAAAAGATCAAACTTTTTCTATCCAGTGGTCTAGGTTTCTTTCATACCTTTTGCACAATGACTCATTCACTTACTTGACAGAAAAATGTTAATATTCTTTGAATTCCATCTCTCCACCTGTTTCATAATTATAGCTGATCACATATCCTTTGATTTTTAGAAACATAAAATTTAAGAATCAATAATAAGATGAAAATATTCATAAGTCTGAATAACTTTAAAAACAAAACGTGTCACTTTCTCCCAAGCCAACATTATATATCATGGATTAACTCCTAATCTTTCATAAGCCACATAAACTACACGGAAAATGATAAATACTTTATTCTACTGAACCTCTCATAGAAAGCAAGTTTCAATTGCTTACATGCAGATGATAGACTGTTCCATCTGTTCTGAGGGGAGAGGGAAGAGAGATTTTTTAATGGCAAAGCAAAGGACAGCAAAGGAGCAAAAGATCACTCCCTATTTCCTCACAAGATTCCATAGCTGTTGTAATTAGTTGATGCCCTGGGGATATAAACCAGAAAGTCAGCTTTCTAACCTTCTAACCTCCATGGATTTCAGTCACATTAAATGCTTCTTTCGTGTGATATATAATTCCTTAAAGTTCTCATGTATCCTGCAGGGATAATAGAACAATCCACAATTGTTTAATCCATTTGGTGTCCAATGATGTTCAAGTGAAGATCAAAGTTGTATTTGAAAGAATCTATAAGTTCCAATATAGAAGCATGCTTTAGAATTTTTAAAATAATTTTTTTGGTGATTGCATAAACATTCAGTCTGGAAACCCAGAACTTCTTGGAGCCAAGTATTTTGAAACGGAGAGATAGAAACTGGCCTGCAGGGGCAGAGGGAGAAATCCATAATGGCCCAGAAACGTCTAGTTCCAAAACTTGTCCACGTGAGATGCAATTGCAGAAACCAGAAAGCAACTGCAACTCTGAATAAAATATTGCTATATAGTCTTTGTACAAATTTTATGAAATACTCAGAACCATCACACTACTGCAATGCAGTGATATGCTGTACTTATTTCCAACTCGGTGCTCTTGAGGGCTCAAAGATTGGATTCTTCCGTTAAAAACTAATCTCTTCCAAGAGCCTGATTCAGGTGCTCTAGAACCAGAAGCCTCATAAGTGTCCCAGGTGATTTCCTAAGATGTCTGGAGAACACTGATGTAAAATGGAAGTTTTGCCTACACAAAGATGCTCAATCTGAATTAAATAGAGACATTTTTGAAGACCTGTGCTACTTTAAATTCATTTACATTGTCCCATATGCTTCAATGAAAGGAAAATATTTCAGTTTTGTTTGTTAAAAAACACAATTTTTCTTAAAATATTTTACTTTTCATTAAATTGATATACATTTCACTTTAAAAATCCAAACCATACATAAAAGTACAAAAAGAAATAAGCACTATTCAAGGTCTTACAATCTTAACATTTTGGTTAACATTCTTCTAGACACATCTATAAAAAATAGACACATGAGGGGCGCCTGGGGGGCTCAGTCGGTTGAGCGGCTGACTTCAGCTCAGGTCATGATCTCGCTGGGTTTGTGAGTTCAAGCCCCACGTCGGGCTCTGTGCTAACAGCTCAGAGCCTGAAGCCTCCTTCGGATTCTGTGTCTCCTCCTCTCTCTGCCCCTCCCATGTTCATGCTCTGTCTCTCTCTGTCTCTCAATAATAAATAAACGTTAAAAAAAATTAAAAAAAAATAGACACATGAATACAATTTTACATAAATGGATTCAAACTGTTCCAGAAACTGTTTTTAAAAAAATCCAGTGTAGGGGTGCCTGATTGGCTCAGTCAGTTAAGTGTCCGACTCTTGGTTTCCGTTCAGGTTATGATCTCACAGTTGTAAGACTAAGACTCGTGCTGGGCTCTGAGCTGTGTGTGGAGCCTGCTTAGGATTCTCTCTCTCCATCTGCCCCTTCCCCCCTTAAAAAAAAAATCCACTGTAAAATTATGTATTTCAGCGTTTCTAAAGAAAGCTCTACATGTACATCCAAAGTTGTAACAGCTCTATGGTATATTTCATTCTACCTATGTACCGAAATTTACTCTGCACTTGAGCTTTCTCAGCTGTATAATAGAATAAAAAATAGTATTGTAATCTGTGAAAAGTACTGACAAGTGTCTGTCATATAATAAGCATTCAGTAAATGTTAGCTACTATTACTATTATACATTATGTTTTCCAATTTTTCATTATTAAAAGCAACACTCTGATAAACATCTTCTACTTAGATCTTTTTTTCATTCTAGGTCATAAAGGAACAGCTGTGTTTGACCATCCTTGATTTGACCAGATCATGTTCTAAAGTGTTTGAAATGAGTCATTGTAGCACAAAGGCCAGTCTTTATTATTCATTGATCAGCCAATAACAGATCTATAAAATTACACCACCAGTTATATATAAGCAATATTTTCATGAGGCTTAGAAAGAATATTTAAAACTTTTGTAAGTGAATTTACATTGCTTTGACTTGGTATTTCTAGCTGAACAGGAAGCTTACTGTGTGAGTTATAAAAATTATTTGATCTTTTAAGATACTTCCAGTTCTAAATGATGTTACTATCATATGAGGGCCAAAAAAGCTTACAGGTCCAGTGCCCAGTATTGTCAGACTCACACCCCAGATTCCCTGTCCAAGCTGATCTTACTCTGATAATATTACTGTGCGTGAATTGCCTTTCTAATGCGCATCATTCTTTGATAGTGATTTTTTTGGTCTGTTTTTAAAAGGCAAGAAAATACCAGTCGGAGGCATATCTATGACGTTTGGAAACAAAAGCATCATTGGTGAAAGATTCTAAAAGGACAGAGAAGAGACTAAGAGCCTGTTCTTCTTGGCTGACCCAATGAATCTGGCATTGTCGTGGATGGAGGCACAAATAAATCCCAAGTCCAAGCCTCTCTGATATAGGGTGTGCCTCCCAGGAAAATTCCCCAGTTTAAGACCTAAAACCAGAGTTGGCACTTTATGTTTCCAAAGAGGTTGCTAAATTCATGGTCACTCATCCACTAAGAGCCTTAGAATGAATGTCCTGACTGCAGCTTCATTGAAAACAGAAGTGTGAGAAGTTGGTTGAGAATGGAGTTTTATCAGTAATGATTCAAAGGCCAGGTGAAACAAGGTGAAAAGCTAGAGGTTTTCCCAGTTTAAAAAGAGAGAGAGAGAGAGAGAGAGAGAGAGAGAGAGAGAGAGAGATGAATGAGGCAAGTCATAGATTCATCTTTGTCTCCTTCACTTTTCCCAGGGAAGCCAGAATCTACTAGAACTTTTTTCTGTTTTTAAATTTTTAGTTCCTTATTTATGGTGTATTATAAAGAGAATGATGGAGGACAAACACCTCACTCCCAGGCAGCTAAGTTACATAGTAAGAAGCACAAATGTAACCAAAAGGTGTCAAAAGGATTTCATGCCTTACCAATATGACTTTCTTTTCTGGTTTTTAACCCTCCCCCCTTCTTAATATACAATATGAGAGGTGTAGGAGATATCTTATGTCTCATAAAGCAGAAATGTTCTTATGAAGAAGGTGTTATTTAACAACTTGTCATTCAAGAAGACAGGAAGCTTGCAATAATAAAAACAAAGCCCAAACACATGTTCTTCCCAAGTTGAGGACTATTGTAGTAGAATCTTGGTCTGGGAAAATTTTCAAAAAGGGTTTCTTTGTGGGATAAGAGTGCCACACCCTCTGCTCCCTCCCAATCCTTATCCCTCCATCCACCCAAAGCTTACCTAACAGTATCCTGCTCACCCTCTTTTAAGATTAATTCGTATCTTACGAGTAACTCGAGGTCTTTATTATTTGGGGTGAGCTTTCTATTCATTTCTTTGCAATGTTAAGTGAGAGAAGAGGTCTCTCTTAAGGAGGAAGTGGCCCTTCCTTAAGCAGTCCTCAGACAGTGAGGAAGCATGGGTACGGGGACGGTAGGAGGGTGGCAAGAAAAACCACCTCTGAAGGCCAATGCCACCAAAAGCGGCCACACCTTCTGCCCAAAGGATCGCATTCTGTCATGGCCGACCCAACCAAACTGAAATAGGAAAAGCAAGGTTTGTTACAAAATATTTTAAAAGAGGTCACGTGTTCTACCTTTGAGTTGCACTCCTGTCTTTCTTTTGATAGCATAAAGAGGATTAACGGGCCCCAGCAGCAAATACAAGTTCCTCTGCTTGCCAACCCTTTTCATCAGCTGCACTGTGCACCCCAGTGAGCTCTGCCGAACCTGCTGCCATCTGCCTGGACTTTCTTTCTGCAAGATGGCTCCTACACGATGACCATTGCGCGAAGACTCAGCTCTAGGTGCCACCTACGTGTGCAGGAACGGCCTATGGGCCTCAGCCCGCTGGGACACTATGCCGGATTGGGCTAGATGGGCGATCCCAGATGTGATGTCATTTTGACGCCCGGGACCCCAGACTCCTTTCATCCCGTTCCTTCCACGCCTGTTTCTCCTTCTTGTCTCTCTCTTCCCGCTGGTAAAGCAGCGCGGAAGAGAGAGCGGACGGGCTTCATCTCGCCTCCGGTCCGAGCCTGGCTCGCACCGCTGCGCCCGGCGTGCGGGGGAGGCTGCGCGGACCCGGCTCCAGCCCCGGCGCCCGGGCCCGCAGCCCTCCAGCCCTCCCGGATCCACCGGCAGGTCCGGCGGGCGGCGGGGGTCCTGCGGGGCGGAAGTGAGAAGCCAGGCGTGGGAGGAGGCTGCAGGCTGGGGGCTGGGATCCCCTCGGCGGCTGACGCGGTCCGGCGAACCCGAGCGAGGACTGCGGCCGCCTCCCGACGCCCGGGGCGCGCCAGCCGGGCCTTTTTTGGCGCTGAGGGAGAGCAGACGGGCAGGGCCGCCGCTTCGGGGGAGCGAGGCTGAGCCGCCGCCCCCGGGACCAGGAGGAGGAGGGGCTGCCTCGGGGGGCGCCGCCGCGACCCAGATAGGCCGGGCGAGCGCGGGAGCGGGCGGCGGCCCGTCGCCTCCTTCCTCCTCCGCGGCGCCATCCCTCGGCGCGCCCAACCCGGAACCCGGAGAGCGCGTGGGGGCGGGGAGGCGAGCGCGCAGAGCTGGCGGGCACCCCCGCGGCCCCCGGGCCCCCAGCCATGTCGGCCGAGGAGATGGTGCAGATCCGCCTGGAGGACCGCTGCTACCCGGTGAGCAAGAGGAAGCTCATCGAGCAGAGCGACTACTTCCGCGCCCTCTACCGCTCCGGCATGCGCGAGGCCCTGAGCCAGGAGGCCGGCGGCCCCGAGGTGCAGCAGCTGCGCGGCCTCAGCGCCCCGGGCCTGCGCCTGGTGCTGGACTTCATCAACGCCGGCGGGGCCCGCGAAGGCTGGCTCCTGGGCCCGCGGGCGGAGAAGGGCGGTGGGGTGGAGGAGGAAGAGGAGATGGACGAGGTGAGCCTGCTGGCGGAGCTGGTGGAAGCGGCCTCCTTCCTTCAGGTCACGTCTCTGCTGCAGCTGCTGCTGTCCCAGGTGCGGCTCACCAACTGCCTGGAGCTGTACCGCCTGGCGCAGGTGTACGGGCTGCCCGACCTGCAGGAGGCCTGCCTGCGCTTCATGGTCGTCCACTTCCACGAGGTCCTTTGCAAGCCCCAGTTCCATCTTCTGGGGGCTCCCCCTCAAGCCCCCGGCGATGTCAGCCTGAAGCAGAGGCTGAGAGAGGCCCGGATGACGGGGACTCCTGTCCTCGTGGCCCTGGGGGATTTCTTGGGGGGACCCCTGGCTCCTCACCCCTACCAAGGGGAGCCCCCATCCATGCTGAGGTATGAGGAGATGACTGAACGTTGGTTCCCGCTGGCCAACAACCTTCCTCCCGACCTGGTGAATGTCAGGGGTTACGGGTCCGCCATCCTGGACAACTACCTCTTCATAGTGGGCGGGTACAGGATCACTAGCCAGGAGATCTCGGCTGCGCACTCCTACAACCCCAGCACCAACGAGTGGCTCCAGGTGGCCTCCATGAACCAGAAGAGGTAAGCACCCGGCAGTGCGGCTTCTTTCCCATCCATTCACTTGCTCGTTAGCTCGTTCCCCTAATGTTTACTGGGCAGTCACAGGAGCTTGCGCCGAGGTGGGAATGACATCTTCAGGAGTGTTGCTGGCCTTGACTCTGGCAAAGCGCCCAAAGAACTGAGGACTTGCAAGGAAGAAGTGCCCCCCCCCCCCCGCGCCCCACCCCCGAGGTCAACTAGCTGAGTTGTTTCCTTGCAGGTATTGCACTTTTAGGCAAACTGCTTTTTTTTTTTTTTTTTTTTTGCCTCTTTCCCAGTGGAAAAAAGGAATCTGTGGTTTCCTAGAAGGATACTTTCAAAGAAAACTTTCTTTAATTTGCTTTCATTTTTGCCTTTTTAAATTTTTTATTTTTTTATTCTTTAGGCTCCAATCCTGATTACAGTGACACACTGGGCAGTAACCTGTAACACTGTCTTTGGGAGAGTTTGTTGTTGTCACTGACTTTGAAGCTTCCTACATTGGGGCACCAATCTGTGCTCAGGAGATAAACATTAGAATTGTACCTACGATTTATTGTTTTAAGTGCCTCTTATTTTTTATCCTCTCTTTTGCATCTCCCTTCTTTCCCAGACAGATTCATCATTGACCCAAAACTTGAGCCTGGCAATGGTCACCTGGAGAATTAGAACATTTCCGTCCACCTGGCCTTCTCCCTTCCCATCCTGCAAATCCCTCCCAGCATGCACTTGGGTGACTTGGAGATAGGAAAAGGAGGAAGGGAGAGGAGCAAGAGGAGGGAATGGAGCTAGGAAACGAACAGGAAAAGAAAAGAGCAGGGCGGATGGAGCGGAGGTGGTAGGAAGGAAAGGTGGTCGGATCCAAGACAGCCACAGCCATTCATTCACAAGTTGGGAGAAGAATCAGTGTGACCCACGAAAGGACCCTCTCCTCTGGTCCACTTGTACCCATCTCAACCCCTACATGGGCCCTACCCTAAAGTGTGGAACCAGGAATTGGGGGACTCACCACCTGGCAAAGAAAGTTGTAACCGTTACACATACTGACCTTAAGGGTACACCAGGCCAGGAGGATCAGTGACTTTATTTCTACAATAACATAAAATTCATCTTGGAAAGTGTTCTTTTTTTCTGATGATAAAAATAATATATAGTTATTCTAGAAAAGTGGAAAAATGGAAAAGAATCAAGAAACGGAAAGACCGTTATTCCTGTTCCCTCCTTCACAGAGGCAATAACCTCTTACAGGTTGGCATGTTTTCTTCCAACCCCTTTTTAGTGCATTATTTATACCATACTTAAAATTTGATGTCAGATGGGTTATTTTGAAGCAGATTATAATTAAAGCAACAAAGAAACATTCAGTGTTGTGGATATTGCTCAGATTAGGGGGTGGAAGGCCCAGCGGACTGGCCATCACCACTATACACACTGTCTCCAGTTGTATCAACTGAGGTGATCAGCATCCTCACTGCCCCACCCAGCTCCAGCTGTAACTGTAACACAACACCTCACAGAATTCTTTCTTTACAAGTCCTTGGTAGTCTTTTTCTTTATAGGAATATCCGTCCTCTGAGGGGAAAAAAAGGTATTCAAGCAATGCATGAATATGTGCTTAGAAAAATTGCAAATGACATGAAAAACCAGAGTAAAAAATGGTATCCATTGACATACCTTTATATATTATGCATTTATAAATATATTTATGTTACATTTATATATACGTATATATGTGTATATGTGTATACACACACATATATATACACACACACACACACACACATTAAGAACATTGATGATTGTTAACAGGGAAAAATGTGTATGCATATGCATGTACCTGGAGGGGTGTGTATGCATCTTGTACATACTGTTACTCTACAGTTGATTAGGCTGTGCTGATTATTATGGCCACTAATATTTCCATTTTGAGAGTTTTTTTCTATATCAGCAAATGTAGAGCCATCTCATTCTTGTTACTGGCTGTGTAATATTCCAGCCCATAGATGTACCATAATGTAATCAGCCCTTCCCTTATTTCATGAGCATTTAAGTTGCTTCCTTTTAAAAAAGATTATTCTATTTATTTATTTATTTGTTTATTTTCAAGGTGAGCTGCCTGCCCAACTTGGGGCTTGAACTCACGACCCTGAGATTAAGAGTCCACATGTTCTACCAACTGAGCCAACCAGGTGCCCCATTTAAGTTGCTTCTATTTGCCATTATAAACAACGCTATATTGAGCATTTTGGCATATGTGTGCCTGTCTTAGCTGGCATATATCAGTCAGTCCTATATGGCAAATTCCTGAAATTCCTGGATAGGTGGGCCAAAGTGCATGCATGTTTTCAATTTTGGTAGCTCCTGCCAAAGTGCCCATCAGAAAATTCATATTTCCTCTCCTTGAAACAGTGTTTGAACTTGCCAGTTCCTATTCTCTTGCCAAGACAAGACATTATCATAATTTTTTATTCCAATCCAATGGGCAAAAACACTGGTGTGAATGTTTCTGCGTGGAAGAGAGATTTTTCCTTTCATATATTTATTGGCCTTGTGTATATATTTTTTAAACGGTTTTTGCCAATTAAAAAGAAAATTGGTTTATCTTTTTCATATTCATTTCAGAAGTTCTGTTTATGTATGTAGAGTTAATCTCTTGTCTCTTAGATAATGAAGCACATGTTTTCCCCTGTCTTTAATTTATTGTAAGGCCCCCAAAATGAAATCTTCCAAGTGACGGGGCAGGTGAAGTCAGTGACTAGAGGGGTGGGTTGGGATTACAAGGGACCGGAGAGTCACCACCCCACCACAAGAGGACTCCGCCTCTCAGCCACAGCTCGTTGCTGCCACCTAGAAGTGAGGAACGGTATTGCCAGATGGGCAGACACCCCGATTTTCAAGTGTTGGCCACTTCTTTGAAAAAACAAACATCAACAATAACAAAAACCTTGCAGGCCAGACCAACACTGGCCTTGTGAGCCTCTAGTTTTGGACTTCAGGTTTATTTCACACACACACACACACACACACACACACACATATATGTATACACACACACATATATATAAAGTTTGTTTATTTTATATTTATATAGATTTATTTTTGTTTATATGTATATAAAGTTTGTTTATTTTAAGAGAGAGAGCGAGTGGGGGAGGGACAGAGAGAGAGAGGAAGAAAGGAAGAATCCCAAGCTGGCTGGGCACTGTCAGCACAGAGCTCGATGTGGGGCTTGAACCCATGAACCATAAGATCATGGCTTGAGCCGGAATCAAGAGTTGACTGCT